AGCAGACCTGCCCTGCCCGTGAACCTGCAGAGCGGTGCTGGAAACCCTTAGGTTCAGGAGCCGCTCGGCCTCCCTTTAGAGGAGAGAAGGGCTGGCTGGAGAGCTCTGGGTTGGCGTTTCTGGGTGAACTTGAATGTGCTCACCGTGAAGCTCAGTTATGAGGTCTCTCTGGCTGTGGCCGAGAAGCTCCCGGAACAGTGACAGGCACGTGGAAGTGTTTTCTGGCTTGTTCTTTTATCGTGAATAATGTATGGTATTGCCCCAAATGTGTGCCGTGGTGTGTGTAGGTCTCCAGGACATTGATGAGTATTAGGTGTGGACCTGATACAAAGTCACTCTTTCTCACACAACAGCCCAAAAGACTGTCCTTCCACAAAACTTATTTTGGGAGATTCTCGCCCAACAAAGAGTACAGAGCCTAGCAAAGCATGCTGTTCCCTAACGGGAAAATAAAATTGGTCCAGAAAGTTTGCTTAGTCAAGAATTATCAGGAGAATTGTAGGGGCACCTGGAGTGGTCTGAGGACCACCCTAATGGTGTCTACCTTCTTCCCCTATTAATTTGTGTCCATCTAGTGCAGCGTGCTGCACACTGGTTTGAGACCCATTAGTGAACTGTGAAATCTCCTGACTGCATCACAAACAGCATTTTTATTTCCTAAGCTATTTTGAGATGATTGTAGATTCACATACAGTTGTGAGAAATAATACAGATCCTGTATACCCTTCACCCAGTTTCCCCCGGGCGTGGCGTCTGGCATAACTGTAGTACAGTGTCACTGCCAGCAAAGTGACGTCCACACAATCTCGGCCTTACTCAGATGTCACCAGTTTTACGTGCGCTTATTTGTGTGTGTGTGTGTTGTGTATTTCTATGCATCTTTATCACATGTAGCTTCATCACCAGCATTTTTAAAAAACAGTAGACTAGATCAGTCAGAGTGGATCACACCTAGTCAGGGTGAGTATTGATTCTGAATTGTGTTTTGGTTATATACACGCATCTCGACTGGATTGTAAGAATGTCTTTTCACTGGGTCACAGTCAAGAAGTTTGAAAGCCACCGGTTGTTTAGTCATCCAGACTTCATTTTACTTCCCTTGAACGGGCTCTCAGCTCAGGGTGCAGCTATGGGCCATCTCCTCAAGAAACGTGTTGTGGAGACTACTGGCCCCTGGTGGGGCTGACCAGTGGCCTCCAGTGGAAAGAGGTCACCGAGCTGAGTCTGCCCAGTGTTCCTGGGACATGGCCACTTGTCACCTCCTTCTAGTAGGTGGAAAACCTGGGTAAATTAGATATATCAAGAGGTGGTGATATGTATATTCTGTACCCCAGGAGCTGTTTAAGGGGTTTTCAAGGGTAATTTTGATAAGAAGCACTTTTTGCTTTCTTGCTGACTTTAGAACTTAACTCCTTAGTAAGCTGGAATTCACTGTACTCTTGCCGCTAGGGGGGATCAGATTTCCGAAAAGTGTTACAGGTGGCAAAACCAAGGTTGCTTAGAAAATATGGAGTTAGGAGAAAAGGGGGCATTAAATATTTTTTACAGCAGTAAATCCTAAGGAAGTATCTTAATTCCAAGACTATTTGTCGGCATAAGAAATCCATGCTGGTGGAAACCCCTCTCCAGACTCGCTCCTTGGTCTTCACCTGTTTCCAGGACACACTTGGTGTTGGAGTGGCTCTGTCTCCAAGACCTCCCCTCCCCCTTGTGTGCAAAGGCCCGCAGGATTGTGGAAGGAGGGAGGTCTGGATGAGGGTGGAGCCCTCGGGATGTGGGCTTGGAAGAAAGTGTGATCTGGTCTCAGTGACTGCTCACTGGCTCACCTGCCCGAGGGTCCACACCTGGGAGGCCACTGGATCTGAGCTGTATTGGTGAAAAGCAATGTTTTGAAGACAGACCTGGGTTTGAATCCAGGTTCCACCACTTAATAGCTGTGTGATAGCACATTTCTTAATGTGAGCCTTGATAGCCTCATCTTCAGTTGAACACACCACCACCTATCTCACAGGGCTTTTAAAAGGGAACGAGATAGGGCCGGCCCCATGGCTTAGCGGTTAAGCGCACGCGCTCCGCTGCTGGCGGCCCGGGTTCGGATCCCGGGCGCGCACTGACGCACCGCTTGTCCGGCCATGCTGAGGCCGCGTCCCACATACAGCAACTAGAAGGATATGCAACTACGACATACAACTATTTACTGGGGCTTTGGGGAAAAATAAGTAAATAAATAAAATTAAAAGGGAACGAGAACAGATAAGTGTCTGTCCCATCATAGGCATTTATAGTGCCTGCAATTATAGTTGATGATGCCGTCTAATAAACCTTAGTTCTGTTCCTACACTCAAGAGGATCGAGTGGCAGGGCTACTGAGGAGGAGAAGTCCAATGTAAGCCAAGGCCATTCTGTGCTGGGGTTCTCCAGGTCCTCCCCGAGACAGTTGGTATTTTCCCTGCGTAGGTGGCTCTTAAACTGCAAAGGGGTGAGGAAGGCGTTGGGAGTCCCGCGTCTGGATAAAGTGGGACTTGGGCAAGCTAAGAACTAGGAGTTTGGCAGAAAAGGAAATCGACTCTAACAAGGAGTAGGAGGGTGGGATCAGAGCAGGAAGTGGAAACCAGGAGGAGGAAGCAGCGCTGGCCGCTGCCTCAGCCCTCGTGGGGAGCTGGCACTTGGCAGTTGCTGCTCAGCTCCCTTCCATCTCATTCAAGTAGACCTGATGGGCCCTCATCCCAGCAGCCACAGAGGCCTGAGACCCAACCCTGCATCTACTCCGGGGCCTATTTTGGGGGCTATTTTGAGTTCAAGCGTGCTGCCCCCTTCTGGGATTGCTAAGAACACTGCAGTTTCGGTGGCTCCTTCTAAGAGAAACTTGGAGGATCTGGTGGCTTAGCCCTACCAGGAAGGACTAAGGCTTCTGCTCACATAGCTGACGTAGGGCCGCTGAAGCCAGGATCACGGTCACAGGACTGTGCCCAGAGCCCTCCAAAGGCTGCCAAGGGCTCGTCTGCTCTTGGCTACGAGGAGAGAAGAGTGTTGAACAGCGGCTCAAGGAGGCCAACCAGGGCCCAGGAAGCCCCAGTGCCCCGCTGCCTCCGCTCATCCAGTTAGTACCCCCGGCCCCCGCGTCAGACCCTGAGGGTCAGCAGAGAGAAAGTCAACCATCCAAGAGAACGGTGTGGACGAGGGAGGCCCAGGAGGCGTCCCTGCCAGAGTGTGGGTTGAGCACCGTGATGCCGGCTCTACCTGAGGAAAGGAGAACGGACAGGGTGGGGCCTCCAGGGCTGGTAGAATGTGCTGGATGCAGCATCTGAAAAGTGCCCCAGAGCCCTCCTGTGGGCGAAGGGGAGAAGGCCGTGAGTGAGCCAATCCCAGGGACCGAGGGAGAGCGGAGAGGAACTGGATGCTCCAGTGAGGAAGAAGTAGCTGAGCGCGCACGGAACCCGCTTCGGGCTCCCGCCGCCTAAGTTGTCCCACTTCATACATCACCCCACACGCAGTGTTTAGATAGAGCCAGAAGAAGAAACGCAGACATCCTGATCCCGCAGGGAGGAGGCCAGGGCTGGGAACAGAAGGAGGCCTGTTTATTGCTGCAGTCCAATAGCCAAGGGGCCCCCACCCACTTCTGTCCAGACGCCGGGCTGAACTCTCCCAGAGCCTCTGACTCCTGCCCAACCAGACAGCGTGGGGCTGAGGGCCAGCCGTCTGCTGGAGCCCGGCGTCCTCCCGCCCACCAGCTCCCTGGAGGATGGGTTTGAGGCAGGTTGCTTTCCTCTTCCCACTTTTTGTCCCAACAGAAGTCCCGCCTCTTGAGAAATCCTGACTGCTGTGCGGGTTGGACAGAGCTAGACCCCTCAGGCCTCCAGCCCTTCAAGCCCAGGTCGCCCCTAGAGAGCGCAGAAGTCCCCTTGCTCCGTCTGTGCTCTTGACTGAGGAAGGTCTTCCTAATGTCTCACCTCCAACTTTCCTCCTGTAGTCTTTAGCCTGTTCCCTCCCGTTTCGGGCCTCAAAGGAGTGCAACTGGCTTCTTTCCCTCACCGCAAAGCCACACTTGATACAAGGTGAAAATTGGGGCACCCCACCTCTTGGCTTCCCCGCCTTGGACTTGCCCTTCCTCTCACTATACCGAGTGCTTATGTGCCAAGCGCTGATCTAAGTCCTTTTTTGTGTGTGTGAGGAACATCAGCCCTGTGCTAACATCTGCCAATCCTCTTTTTTTGCTGAGGAAGACTGGCCCTGGGCTAACATCCGTGCCTCATCTTCCTCCACTTTATATGGGACGCCGCCACAGCGTGGCTTGCCAAGCGGTGCATCGGTGCGCGCCCGGGATCCAAACCGGCGAACCCCGGCCGCCACAGCGGAGCGCGCGCACTTAACCGCTTCCACCACCAGGCCGGCCCCCTGATCTAAGTCTTTATCAGCCATTATCTCATTTCGTCTCACAACAGGTGAGCACCATATGAGCCCCATCTTACAGGTGAGGGAACTAAGGCAAGAGAACTTCAGTAATTTGCCCAAGTTCACACCGCTAAAAAAAAAATAGGATCCCAGGCAGGATTCTGAGATTCAAACCCAGGCTTTCCAATTCCAACCCTGGCTGGTGCCTCTTAGACATCACAGAGGAGGGGGGAGAGGAGCTGTTTGTTGCGACCCCTCCCCCCATTGGCTGTCAGGCCCTGGGATGTACGCAGGAACATGTTATCCCGTGATATTCCCCGAAACAACCCTGAGAGGTGGTTTTCCGTGTTCCCATTTTACAGGTGGGAAAATTGGGGCCCAGAAGTAGCTTGCCCAACGTCATACCCCCAGGGCCATTTGTACCGCGTTGCCCAGAACTTGACTCACAAAGTAGTTGAGAAAAGTGTAGAATGACCCCAGATTCTGGAAGGCAAGGCTGGCTTCATAAGCTGAAAGGCCCACCAGGTGATGGGATGGGGAGCAGTGAAGATCCCCCCACCACTGCCACCATCGCACACTCTTCTGCAGACGTCAGGATTATGGAGCGGGCTGTGCAGTCAGCTGGCTGGCCACTCCAGAGGTTTAAGGCTCATAAAATGTAAATGTGTAAGTGTGGTGGGAAGTGGGGAGGAGTAGACTGAATCATTATTATTCATTAACTGGAATGCATTTCGCAGAATAGCTGGGCAGGAGCAGGCCAGTGGGCGCCAGCTGGGTGAGCTGAGGTCGGGGATCCACCACCTAGGTGGCAGGCTGTGGCTGCTGGCTGGAGAGGGGGACACTGTAGAGCAGGATGGGGGGCACTGGAGGAAGAGAGGAAGGCCTCCCAGTTACCACAGTTCAGGCTGTGCCAGGTCCCACCCCCAGAGGCGGGGCCAGGGCAAAGCCCCGCCAGCCTCAGCTCCGTCCCTCCGGGAACCCAGGCGCGGCAGAGCCTGGGCAGCCAGGAGCCCCGGGCTCTGCTGTCTCCGCCGAGTGGAGGCACCATGCTCTCACCGGCCCGGACACCAGACGTCTTCAGAAGCCCTGCGGGGCTGGCTGCGGCAACCCCCTGAAACTCGGAGGAAGAGCCCAGGCTGGGCAGCAACACCTGTCTCAACAGCCATGTGAGTGTCTACTCCCCTTCCACCTCCCCCCACCCAGCCCCCAGCCACACCTAGGGACCAAGGCTCCAGGTCCTGAAGCCGCCACTGCACCCAGCCCAGGCCACCAGAGCCTCCAGGGTGTGCGTGTGCGGTCACACAGCCAGCGCGGCCCTGGGAGATCGCCCCTGGGGGCTGACCCTGCCTCTCTTGCTGCTCTGGTGGAGGTAAGGTGGGGGCTCACTCCAGGAGGGCCGGGAGCTCCAGCAGGAACCAGAGGCTGGGTTTGAAGTAACGGACCCCGAGGTCTCATGGGGTTTAATCAAGTTGACGGTGCAGGGACGACGGGGAACAGAAACTGGAAGGCTGCTGCAGGGGGAGAGATGTCCTGAGTGGAGGGCCCTGGGGGAGACTGAGGAAGAGGAAACAGGGGCTGAGGGGAGGGGAAAGGGGTGCAGTGGTGGGGCCTGGCTTGGGGGCCTGGGGGGAACGGAATAGAAGGGGCAGCACCTCCTGAGCTCAGGGCGGCCGCGGGGCCCTGGTCCTCTGACGGGAGGAGGGGGCAGGCGGGAATCCTTTCCTTATTGACTTTAATCCTAGCAACCGCAGCTGCTCCCCTGTTGACAGAAGCAGTTCCCACTGGGCCCAGGACCCCTCCCTTGTCCCCATGATGTGGCTGTGGGGCCAGAGTGCTGGAGGACTGAGAACGTGGAGCCCAGGGAAGGGAAGGACAGGGACTGATCAAAGCCACAGACAGGCCAGACCCTGCCCAGCGGCTCCTCTTCCCTCTCCTCTGGGCTCAGCCTCAGCCCCTGGGGTGTGCGGGTGGGGGGTCCTGCTTGCCGCTGGCATCTCCGCATTCACTGCCCGCCCTCCCCCTTCCCCCCCAACTCCTCTCCCTCCTCCGGTTCCCAGGAAGGGCCTGTTGCTAGTGTGGTGCGGATGAGTCAAGTTTATGGGCTGGAAGTCCTACCTGGAGGCTGCTCACTGAGCTGTAACCAGCTACCAGGGTGGATAGGGGGAGGGGGTGCAGGAGACAGGGCGCCCCACTTGCTGCCATCCATCACCCTGGCCTCATCACTGACGCCAGTGCTCAGCGAGCCCTGCCCCCGCCTCACTCCTGCCCCCACCCCCCAATCTTTACCAACCCACCATCTCTCAATGCTCTGGTGCCAACCAGGTTGTGAGCATCTGAAGACAGGGTCCCCTCTCCTTGGTCTTAGCACCCACTCCAAGCCCCCGGCCCCACCCCAGCCTGAAGGAGGCTCTCCACCGTTGGCTGGCCAGAAGACCACTGCACACCGGCCAGACCCTATCCTCCTCCCTTTTGGCTAATTTAGAGGCCTCACCAGGTGGAGGCAGGGATGGAGAAAATGCTTTGGGGCTGGGCGAGTCCACCTTTTAGTGTAAACGGAGGCATGAACACAGCTGCCCAGAGAGGGCCTGGCAGATAACAGAAATGGGCCAGGTGGGGACTGTGGGGACCTGTCTGAAGGCAGCCACTGCTCAGCCCCAGCTGGTTGCTACTATACAGGACATGTATTGCCAGACCTGATTTTATTTTATTTTTGCTTTCTGCTGAGGAAGAGTCGCCCTGAGCTAACATCTGTTGCCAATCTTCCTCTTTTCACATGCGAGCCGCCGCCACAGCATGGCCACTGACAGACGAGTGGTGTAGGTCCACGCCAGGGAACCGAACCCCGGCTGCCAAAGTGGAGCACACCAAGCTTAACCACTAGGCCACCAGGGTGGGCCCCAGACCTAGCTTTTTGAGAAGCCAAAAATATGAATTCATATGTAAATTTTAATTGGCAATTAATTGAAAAAAAATGTGTATCAGCAAACAGGCTACGGCCCACAGTCCACAGGTCTGCAACCTCTGGACTAATGTGCAGCCCCGTCCTGACTCTGGCCGTCCTGCCCTGCCTCCAGGCATCCCAGCTGCTGCTGCGGGCCTCGCTTGCCCCCTGGCCCGAGATGACACCCAACAGCACCACGGAGGCGCTGAGCTCCATTCCCGTGACGGCCCTGGGGTTCTTGCTGGCCCTGGCAAGTCTCATCGTTGCTGCCAACCTGCTCCTGGCCCTGGGCATCGCCACGGACCGCCGCCTGCGCAGCCCGCCCGCCGGCTGCTTCTTCTTGAGCCTGCTGCTGGCCGGGCTGCTCACAGGGCTGGCGCTGCCCATGCTGCCAGGCCTGTGGAGCCAGAGCCGCCGGGGCTACTGGTCCTGCCTCTTCCTCTTCCTGGCTCCCAACTTCTCCTTCCTCTCCCTGCTGGCCAACCTCCTGCTGGTGCACGGGGAGCGCTACATGGCTGTGCTGCGGCCTCTCCGGCCCCGCGGGAGCACGCGGCTGGCCCTGCTCCTCACCTGGGCTGGCCCTCTGCTCTTTGCCAGCCTGCCCGCTCTGGGGTGGAACCACTGGGCCCCCGGAGCTAACTGCAGCTCCCAGGCTGTCTTCTCAGCCCCCTACCTCTACCTTGAAGTCTACGGGCTCCTGCTGCCTGCCGTGGGGGCCACTGCCCTTCTCTCGGCCCGCGTGCTGGTCACCGCCCACCACCAGCTGCGGGACATCCGCCGGCTGGAGCGGGCGGTGTGCCGCGGCGCACCCTCGGCCCTGGCGCGCGCCCTTACCTGGAGGCAGGCCAGGGCGCAGGCCGGGGCCACGCTGCTCTTCGGGCTGTGCTGGGGGCCCTACGTGGCCACCCAGCTCCTCTCGGTCCTGGCCTTTGAGCAACGCCCACTGCTGGGTCCTGGAACCCTGCTGTCCCTCATCTCGCTGGGCAGCGCCAGCGCGGCGGCCGTGCCGGTGGCCATGGGGCTGGGTGATCGGCGCTACACAGCCCCCTGGAGGGCGGCCGCCCGGAGGTGGCTACGGGCCCTGCAGGGAAGAGCCTCTCAGGACAGCGCTGGCCCCGGCACCGCCTACCACACCAGCAGCCAAAGCAGCGTGGACCCCGACCTGAACTAGCGGACGAGCCTCTGCTCACTCCTTCTAGAAGCCTCCATCCGTCTCGGCCACCAAGCCCGGCTCCACTGGTCCCCAGCCCCCTACCCCTACTTTACCCCACCCTGACCGAATAAAGCGCCTCCGGCCCAGAGGAATGGGCATCTCGCTCCGTATCTCACCAAGGGAGAGGCAGTGGAAGAGATTTGCAAAGAACCTAAAACAGACCTGCACCAGGGAGACGCCAGCTCCAGATCAGTGGGCGATCACAGGCGGGACCACCCTCGGCCCGAGAGAGGATGAGCTGAGCTATCTCAAAATCCAGCAGATTGGGGGCGGGGGCCACCCTGCCAGGCCCCTCACTGCTTCCTCCCCTGTCCCAGCGCCACAAACTCCACACACACACTGTCTCTGGGAAGTATATTTTATTTACATTTTTAAAATCTGTAACTAGTATCTCTTCCTCCTTTCCACCCCCCAGAGACTTGGGGAGGGAAAGAACGGGAACCTCAAAGACGCACCCCCATGGCTCACACCAGCAAATGAAAGGGAAAGAGAGGAGGGCTGAACCTCCCTCTGAAGGGTCCGTCAGGTCTGGGGAGGGGAGCGGGGAGGGGCCCGACGGGGGGCTCTTAAGCAAGGGACAGAGAGGGGGCGAGTCAGTTTGCAGGGGTTGGAAAGTAGTCCAAGGCCCCTCCCCTCCTCTTCCCTGGTACCCTACTGCCTCTGCTGGGGGGGCCTCCCTTCACCCCCTCAACACCAGACACAAAGCAGAGGCCGCAGCCACTAGCGGTCAGGTCTCTGCACACAAAATACTTTTGCTTTGTGATCTCCTGACGTGGTCACCACCAGGGAGGCGTCTCTGTGGACAGAAAGTACAGAGGTTGGAGGGACTGGGGGACCTGGGGCCCTCTGGTGGCCTCCTCCAGCACCTCCTCAATTCTAGATCCCTAAGTGCCTGGCGCTGGCTGACACGCCCACATCAGGTGAACACACTTGCAGCCAGCAACCAGCAAGGGGATCAGAGAAGGAGAGCCATCATACGGGGGAGGCCCTTCAGCCCCAGGACTGAGATGTCGGACCCCAAGTTGGCCACTGTCAACCAGAAGCAACAACTCCCTCAGGCGTCCTGGCATCCCTGCCTCACAGGCCCCAACCAGGCAGTCCCAGCCTCCCTTAGGAATCCCCTCCCACACACCAGGGATCCTGCGGCCCCCACGTGCTACTGCCACCTTGGAAATACACACAGAGACCCCAGCCCTGCCCAACCACTTACTTGCTGAGGGCGAAGTCCAGGATCTCGGCCATGTGGCCCCGATAGTCAGTAAGCAGGCGACCGGTCCGAGCGTCCCAGAGGCGTACGATACCGTCCAGGCTGCAAGTGTACACCACGGCCGTGCCCGCCTCCCACAGCAGCTGCACAATGCCCGACTGCTCGGGGATGACAAGGCCGGCGGGGGTCAGGGGGCGAAGCTGAGAGGCCTCTGTTCCCAACTCTCATGGAGGGAGGGACCATGGGCCATAGGGAAGACCAAGCAGGAGCCAGGTCTGGGGCAGATGCTCCCAGAGGCCTGGGCTTCCCCATGGCCACGGCTCCAGGCTGCCTGTACCTGATGCTGACACTGGTGCCTGAGGGTCTGCGTAGACAGGTCATAGATGGCCAGGGTCCCATCCAGGTAGCCAACAGCTGCCAGAGGCATCCTGGGCAGAGGAGAGCATCAGAGGGCTCACGGAGGGACCTGGACTCACGTGCCCTTCACTCCATCCTGGTCCCCCGGCCCAGGCCCCATCCCCCAGACCCCCTTCTCGCCCAGTCCCTCTGGCTCCAGGCCGAGCGCTGGCTCACACTCACACACTGCAGAAGCCCAGGGACTCCACTGAGTTGGACTCACTCTCCTCCCCTTCTCCCAGGTTGGGCTGGGAGGCCACAGTCTCGGGTCTGAAAACGCCCACCACCTACGAGCCAGGGGAGAGAATCAGAGAAGGGCTGGGAAACAGTCCTCTAACAGAGAAGAGAGGCGGCGGGGCGAGGAGTGTGAGTGGAGGAGGAGCACGGGAGAAGGTGCAGAGAGCGGAGGGCTCCACGGGCTGCAGTCCTGCTCACCTTGCCAGTGGTGGTACTGACCAGCTTAGCCTGGCAGTCCACAGAGCCAGTGAGGGCCAGACTGCCATCCTGGTTGCTGGCGACACAGGTCAGAGGGCCCTGGTGACCCTCAGTCCCTAGGATGGACAGGGGAGAAGTTAGACTTCATCCTGTCCCCTCCAAGTCCTGCCCCAGCTCTCAGCCCCTTCCCCACGGAGGCCCAGATCAACATTTCCTCCACCTCCGATACCTTTTAGTACGTGGATAGGGCTTCCCTGCTTCAGGTCCCAAATCCTGATGGTGCCGTCCTCATAGCCGACCACAGCCCTCTTCCCTAAAGGGCCAGAGGCACAGATGAAGAGAGAAGGACAGACAGCACACTTGGACACCCAGCAAAGGAACAGGGGGGAAGGGGTGCAGAGACAAGAAAACAAGGGAAGACACGCTGCCCCAGGGAACAGCAGAGAAGACCCAGTGCAGCGTGGGAAAGGGGAGCTGCCTGCTCTGGGGCCTAGGAGGCCAGTGCTCCTGAGGGCAGGAGGGAGCGGCTCTCACCATCAGGGAGGACTCGGCCACAGGTGGCTGGGCAGTTGGGACCCTGGAAGGTCTTGCAGTCACCATTCGGGACCTTCCACATCCAGGTGTTGCCATCAGCTGTGCCCGCCAGTAGGACAGGTGCCCGAGGGTGCCACTCCATCCACTGGGCAGAGAGGAAGGGTCAGCAGGGAGGCCCGTCACCCCACCCCACCTAGGAGCCTGCCCCATGAGCCCCACCAGGCTCTCCCTGCCTCTGAGTCACCGGGGACATTCCAGGTAACAGAGACATTCCTGCTCTACCTTGCAAGTGCGCCGGCGCAGAGCGGGCTTGGTCTGGTACAGGTGGCACTGGACCCGCAAGCTCACACCCCCTACCCAGGGACCCACAGAGCTGAATCCCCCTCTGATGATCTCACCTCCAGATCGCCTGCTTCAAAGGACCAGACCTCTTCCTTGGTGTCCACCTGCCACACTTTCAAGAGGCCACTCATGTCCCCTGTGGCCACTAGGGTAGAGTCGTGGCTGAAACCAGCACAAGTCACAGAGTCTTTATGGCCTGCAAGGAACAGTGGGCAGAAAGAGAAGAGAACATCAGGGGACCTCGTGCTGGGGGCACATGACCAGGTCTCTGGCCCCCAGAAAGGACCAGCTGGGAAAAAAAGAAGGGCGGTTGCCAACAGAACAGATGACCAAACTCACTGCCACTCCAGGAACCAACACCCCAGCTCTCTCCAGGGGAGGCAATGCTGGCCTCCCATCAACCATGCATAGCCTAGCCCGATGTCTTAGCCCTGCTGTCCACTCCGCACCCCTGCTTGAAACACCCACAGTCTCCTCTCTGTCCAAATACTCCTTCGCCAGTGTCGCCTCCTCTCAGGCCTTTTCCAGACTCCCCCGTGCCCACGACAGACTACGATATTCTTCTTTGGGGTAAATGGGCCCAGAAGAGGGCTGGCAAAACAGGGGTCAATAAATGGCTGCTGGGTGTACCACCACTGCAGGCCAGCCCCCTAAGACCTCCCACGGGACACGACCTCACCTGGGGCCCCTCACCTGCACACTCAAAGAGCAGCTCCCCATCGCTGAGCCTCCACACGAAGGCTTTGTCATCTTCACCCCCTGTCACTGCCAAGGTGTTGGTCTTGGGGTCCAGGCTCACACAAAACACAGATGCTGTCCCAAGAGACATTCCATGAGTAAGGGTACAGGGCTCCCACCTAGGGTCTCTCCTTCGGGACCTTCAGGAAACCCACCCCCTTCCACCCAAAGCAACATGTGTTTCCTCCTGGAAAAGAAGGGTGCATCTAAGTTCTTCTAAGTTTCAAGCATCATGTTGTTGGAGAAATCCCTCCCCAAGCTTGCCCAGCTCCAATCCTTCTCCAGGCAGGTCACCCTATGGTGCTGCTCCCGTCAGCCCCCACACTGATGCTGTGGTCAAGAGGATACATGGGCAGGGCTTACTGTTCTCAGCATGAGATGCCATCAGCTGGGTACCAACTGAGTGAGGAGAGCATCACGCTACTGGTTCCTTATTAAGAGCTAATATGTGAGAATGTTATATACAACATGCTCAAAAAGGTACTAGCACATCCAATTTACACAAAGTAACTTTTGCCAAAGGTAACTTTTAAAAAGAAAACTAAGACCCAGAGAGGTTAATAAAGATCATAAATGGGTAAGAAGCAAGGTAGGATTTGAAGCCAGGTGTCTCAACCAGCTCCAGGGGCCAAGCTCTCCCCCTTGCGTCATACTGCCCCTACCTGTAGCTCCCCCAGGGCCAGGCCGGCATTTCCCACCTCCACGCCCCTCAGTATGCTCTGCACACAGCGGAAGTCTGCTGCTCAGACGCCCGCCGGGATTGAGTGTGTGACAGGTCTCAGAGCCCTACCTGAGTGCAATGCAAAGGTGACCTCACTATCGTCGGGGCCCTCCATGCTGCCGACCACCCCTTCCTGGGGTTCCAGAACCCAGCCCTCCTCGTTGCCCTCTTCCTCTTCTTCCTCTTCCTCAAAGTCTACATCTTCCATCTCCTGGGCCAAATCATCTGCTTTGGGGAGAGGATGAAAAGATGGGGCTGGCGGGTAACTAAGAGGGGTGGGGAGAAGTGCGGGGAGGCCGGAGGCTGGGGTGGGTCATGTGGCGAGAGTAAGGTGGGTCAGACCGATGGGGTGAAGGGGGGCGAGAGGCGGCAGAGACGAGGGGGCTGTGGGACAGAGGACAGGAGAGGTCTGAGCACCTGGGGTTGGCCAGAGACCGTGTGGGAAGAGAGGATCGAGGGGATGACGGGAAGGGGGTGTGTGAGGGGAAGGGCCAGAGGAGGCGTCGGGGGAACCCCCACCCCGGCCAGGCCCGAGAACTGAGTATGGAGGTGGGGGGAGAGGAGAAGGGCGAAGGAGGTCGGTAGGAATGACCGGTGGGTGTGGGGGGGCGGGGGGAGGAGCAGGGGTCAGAGGCCAGGGGTGAGCGCCTCCTGTCCCGTGGCCTGATGAGCGGCAGTTCTCACCCGGGTCCGGTGGACCAGGATCCAGTTCCACCACCTCGATAATCTCTTCATCACCATGGAAGCTTAGGGTCTCCAGTGGGGGGGTGTCCGCGGCAGCCCCGCTTTCCGATTCGGACTCCATGCGGCGCAAGCGGCAGATCCACTTCTCTGGGCCCAAACGCCTCCCAAAGTCAGCTCTGCGCGACGACGCGGAACTCGAGCCCCTCCTCCCGAGAGGAAGTGGGCGTAGGCAGGAAGAGTGACGGCCGCTCGGCCAATAGCAAAGGGGGTTGACTGGCTGAATAACCAATCGCAGGGAAGAGTTGGGAGAAGGGGCGGGGCGTAGCGGGAGAACCTAAACTCCGCCTGGCCTGACTCCGCCTCCAACAGGAGGGAAACAAGAGAGCGTGCGCGCCTCCGGGGTCTCCTGGGAAGAGTAGTTCTCCCGGGTCTGCTCCGCGGGCTTCTGGGAGTTGTAGTTTCTAGTCTGTAGGCAGGACGGAAGGAGCAGGGCAGGCCCCTTACGCAAACTACAATTCCCGGCGGGGAGCGCGGTGAAGGGGGGTGGGACCTGAACATGGCGGCGGTGGTAGCTGCTACGGCGCTGAAGGGCCGGGGGGCGAGAAATGCCCGCGTCCTCCGGGGTAAGGAAAGGGACCCCGGGGAGGGCAGGACTGCAGAGGATCCCCTTTTTTTCACATCCCGCCCGGCGATAGCAGGAGGTCAGGGCTGTCGATTCCTGCCCGCCCCCCCTGCAGGATCGTAAAGAGTCTGGGGCTAAAAGATGCTCTCTAGAGGTCACCCAGTCCATCCCCCTGCCTTCGGGTTACACGACGCCTTTGGGGTCTTGCTGCAAGAGGGAGCCCCAAGGAAGCCTTTTAGACTCCCGCGCTCCAGGTGTTTCACACTCACCGCAGTGCAGAGGAAAGAGCCCGGGGCTTCTGGAGGCTTGGGTTCTAGCCCCAGATAATTAGCAGTTTGACCTTGGGCGAAGCATTCGTCTCTCGGGGCTTCAGTTTCCTCTTCTATAAAATGAAGGGATGGAGTAGACTATCTTTAAGCGCCCTTCCAGTGCTAACATTCTGCAGTTTGAAAACCTTTTCTCGGATTTCCTTCCAACGGCTCATGTGAGCCTCATTGCGGTCCTTCACATCCTGTCGTCTGAGGAGATGAAGAAAAGCGAAGCTCGCTCTCCTGACACCGGGTGATGAGCCCGCAGTGACGTGGAAGTGGCTTCCAGAGGTGCCACCTCGATGGCGATTTTCCCACTTCCCTTTGGCTTCTCCGTGGCACTTGTTACTCCGAACTGCAGTCACTCCCCTTCCTCAGATCGCGACCACTCTTCCCCGGGCTTTCATCTCATCGTCTCTTAATGACCTTCCTTCCCTCCATCCATCCACAGGGATTCTCTCAGGAGCCACAGCGAACAAGGCTTCGCAGAACAGGACCCGGGCGCTGCAAAGCCACAGCCCCCCGGAGTGCAAGGAGGAGCCGGAGCCCCTGTCCCCGGAGCTGGAATACATTCCCAGAAAAAGGGGCAAGAACCCCATGAAAGCTGTGGGACTAGCCTGGTGAGTTTTAACTAAACCTTTGCCCACCGATGGGGAGTGGCACCAGGGGAGGGCGGGACCCAGAAACTTCTCCAAGTTTCAGGTGGTGAGCTGAATCCAAGGTTGTGGGGACAGAATTGTTGGGTGGGCGGACTGAAGTCGCAGAGGAATGGGACGGGGAAGGGGGAGAGTATGTGGAATTGGAGCGAGGTGTGTTTTCTGTGGAGGAAGCTGAGTTAATCTGATTCAGATCCTTGGCTTCATCCTCTCTTTTGGGAGCTTGGGGGGAGACCCAATTGAGATCTTTAATTGAGATAATTAATTGAGATCATGCGAGATTATATTAGTTGTGTAGTAGCACCTAGAAGATGTTCAGTACATCGTTATTTGGATCTGACTCCGACCTTAATACATATTATTGATCAATGTTCAAGGGAAAGGAGGTGGAAATTAACATTTTTTACCAGCACCTGAGGTGTGCTAGTACTTGACCGTGTAATGTTTTAGTCTCTCTGGGATAAATGTTACATCCCCCTTTCACAGAGGAGGGAACTGAGGCTCAGAGCTGGGATTCTCACCAGGTCTTGTGACTCCATGCCCTTTCCCCCACACCACAGTGCCTCCCAAGTCGTGGTTACTGAGATTAAGAAGGGGAGTCTGGGAGGGGGTGTGGGCAGGTTAGACAGAAGGAAACTTCGCCAAGACTTGGAGATGGGAAAAGGGTGGGATGGCTGGAGAATCATGCTCAGTCGGTGTGGCAGGATTGCAGGGCTCACGTTGAGGAGCGGCAGGCTATGGGGGAAAGGAATGAAGAGGTGGGCAGAGACCCAACCACACTGGGCCTCTTGGGCTGTGCCTAGGAGTTTGGACTCGGCCAGGAAGTGATGAAGAGCTGTTACAGGGTTTTGAGCGGGGCAGCAGCAGGATCTGATTTGCCTGGGGCCCTCCAGCAAGCCAGGGTGGAGGCTGAATAGACACAAGAGGTATTGCAGTGTTGATGCGATTGGTGAAGGTAGAATGAGATTCCCCTAGCTCCTCTGGCTCAGGCTTGGCCCCTCCCCAAACCCCATGCACATCTCCCACCCCTAGGGCCATCGGCTTCCCCTGTGGTATCCTCCTCTTCATCCTCACCAAGCGGGAAGTGGACAAGGACCGTTTGAAGCAGATGAAGGCTCGGCAGAACATGCGGGCATCCAACACGGGCGAGTATGAGAGCCAGAGGTTCAGGGCCTCCTCCCAGCCCGCCCCATCTCCTGAAGCTGGGTCCGGGGTGCAGGCCTGAGGAACGCTGCAGCCCTCTCCTAGACTGTCTTGACTGTGGCTTCCGGACTGTGGAGTCCTTTGGGTTTGGCCATGATTCTGGTCCTTGCCTCTGCAGTCCACCAGAGGGCGTGTGAAGCCCAGGCTGCTGCCAGTGCCTGCCCCTCCCCTCCAGAGAAGCCAGCCAAAGGCAAATAAAGTTGAGTGTGTGAGTGGCAGGGAACCAGGACTGGGTTTGTGAATCCCTTGGGATGGGAGGGGCAGAGGGTGGGCTTGGTTACTCATGTGTGCTCCCTCTCACAGAAGCCCTCAGTGTTCTTAGCTGGGTGGCTGGGGAAACCACTGAGACTTAAGCACAAGCCCAGGCTCGTGCCCTGGGGACCAAGCCCTCAGAGGTGCTGGCCAGGAGGGTGGGGTCCCGCTCAGCCTTGAACAAATAATAAAGAGAATCAGTGAGGGTTTGGAGGGAAAAAAGCACTACTCCTGTTGGCTGAAGCCAAATGATTCATCCTCTCTGGGCCTCAGTTTCCTTGTTTGTAAGACGGATTGGACTAGTGATTTCTAAGGCAAGGGTTCTAAACCAGAACCTGTGGTCCATCTCTACCCCCCTATATGCAAAATTGTGTGTACATATACAACTTGGAGGGGAAGAGAGTTCACAGTGCTCATGTGCTTTTGTAAAAGGTCCATGATGCAGAGGTCACGTGCTGCTGCTCTGAGCGGATCCTTAAGCAATACTGCAGGGTTGAGCCTTCACCAGCCTGTTGCATCCACCACCAACAAGTGCTGGGGCAGTGTGTTTGATTACCTTAGAAAGTATGGAAGAACACGAAGGTAGGAAGTGGATGCTTTGGACAGAGCCAGACCAGTACCCCCAGAGCTGACACCTTCAAGTGAAGAAAACCGAGCCAAACAGGGTTTTAACTTCTAAACATAAAACTTTATTACATTTCTAGTTATGTCCTTTGTGTGATATATTTAGGACCAAGTCCTTACTAGAGAAGTCCTAATTATACCCGTGGGCTGATCTGGTTTCCACCCCCACCCGACAGAGTGACCCTCGCCCCCTCCCCATTCCAGCGTCAGGCACTTGGTGTCACAAAGAAAGCAGTAGCTGGCTGGAGAGAGAGGGCTACCATCCCCCAGCGCGCGTTAAGAACAGACTGAGAGGGGAGGTGTCCTTCCTCTCAGGGCCCTCCCTGGGTTAGCAGAAGTAAAGAACACGAAAGTTTCTATGGCCGCCACAGTAGGCTTCCATATCCCTCAGACTGGGTGGGGGACCCCAAGGCATTTTCTCTGCCCCCACCCCAGTCTCTCCTCACCCTGGTTACTTCCTGGCCACACTTAGGATCCTACAGACCACCCCATCTCCTAACCTGTGCCCCTCACTTTCTGCTCTGAGTAGCCTGAGCCCAGGAAGCAAGAAGCCCCTCAAGCAGAGACCTCCGAAGCACCAGGGAGGCCCCAGGCAGCTCTGAAGAATGGGGCCCTGGGGCTGCAAACGGCCTGCTCTCTTCATCATCCCCACGAGCCATGAGGAAGCCCAGGGTAGATGCAGCTCTGTATTGGCCCCCATGCTTGACTCTGCTCGCTCTCCTCTTCCTCCCCCGCCCCTAACCCAGATAAACAGTATATACATGCAGTCGAAAGAGGGGTTGAAGCGGGGGACCCCTGGGCACAGATCTCTTCTACCTTCCTGAGCTGGAAGGTGCCAAGGCTTGCCAAAGCAGTGCAGGATAATGGCCTATGAGTCCAGGAGGCTGGGGACAAAGCACTCTGGCTTTGTTGGGAGGAAACAGCTCCAGCTGCAAAGCCCAGAGCCTGGGGCAGAGGTGGGAGAGGCCACCTCATCACCTTGATGTCACTTCTACCTCTCATATTCCCTGTTAGCTACAGAACAGGCTCTTTTTTATCCCTCCCCTTCCAACCCCAGCTGCTAAGAAGAATTTGGTGCCACATAGTGGGTGGAGGGAGGAGGCACATCTTCAGCCTAGTCCCTGCTGAGTCCACCGAGGGCAAAACTTAGCCCCCAGTTCCTCCAGCCCCAGCAGGTATCTACACATCCACAGCCAGAGAGGCCACCCATCCCAGGACAGAAAGGAAACTGGGCGTATGACTTGAGGGGAAGGAAGGGGGTCTGAGGCCCACACCCCGGGCACGGGGCCCAGCCCTCTAGGGAAGGGAAAGCCCAAGGTGGGGTGGAACAGGGGGTCCTCCTTAATTGCGATCCCCCACCAGCTGCAGCACAAAGGTGAAGATGTAGACGATGTCCGTGTAGATCTGCAGGGCGCCGGTGATGTAGTCCTCCGGGCTGATGGTGTGGCGCCGGTTCCCCAGGACCAGCTGCGTGTCGTAAGCCAGGAACTGCAGGGAGAGGGACGCCACAAGTGAGGGCCCAGGGGCTCAGCGGCCAGAGCTCACTTCTGGTCAGCAGCTCTGTCCTGGGAGCCTCCATGCCATGCAGTGTGCTCAGCGGCCACATTAGTGAACAGCACGGAACACGGTCTCCGCCCTCCAGCAGGTCCCAGTTAGGGAGACAGCCGCACCGGCTCTGTGACACGGCCTGCTGAGCGTTCTGTAGCAGGAGGTGTGAACGAGACGGTGGGAACGCCCAGGAAATCAGTGCTGCAACCTCTCAACAGTGGGAGAGGGAAGGGCAGCTGTGGCCCCACTTCCTGACCCCAAAGCAGCCTAAATTCATGCTCCATCCACCCGGTGCCTCCCCTCCAGCCCGTCAGTGCCCCTTCCCCTTCCTAGAGGGGGCGAGCCTTACTCACCAAGGTGAAGCAAATGGCCCCCAGAGCAGCATAGACCATGTGGAGCCAGTAAATCTGGGGAGAGGGACAGGGATGGCATTAGAAGTCTTAGCAAAGCATAGACCAAGGCAGGCCCTCAGGACCAGCTTTCCCCGGGATTCCGGCATCCCAAGTTGGGAGAGCATGACGCTGGCTACCTGAGAGGGCTACTCTGCCTTCCAGATCCTGGAAGAAATTAAGAATGGTAACATACTTGGCAGAGAAAACAAAGGCCATCCTCTAATGGCCATGTAAAGCAAATCTCCAAAGTTAGTTAAGGTACAGAAGTGTCCACTATACTTCTGGGAAAAAGAAGGGGGTGGAGTTATAGCTCTGGGAGGGGCAGACAAAGGCATGCACTGGTAGAAGAGCCCCATCCCTGTTCCCCCAGCATGGTCCGCATTCAACAGAGTGGTTCCCGCAGCCAAGCCTGGGAGGGACTGACTAAAGAAGAGGGCTGGGAGGGAAGCCTCCAACTGCCCTGATGAATATCAGCATCAGGGAGCACCCCCAGGGCGGCCCTACTCAGCAGCCCTCCAGGTGCCCGGCGACAGAAGGGCAAGGCCAGCCTAAGGTCAAGTGGGCAGGCGGCCCCCTGTTCATACACTTCCCCTTCCAGCCTGTGCTCCCGTCCCCGCCAGGAGGCTCCCTCAGCCTAGGGTCCTCACGCTCTCCCCCTGGAAATCGAAGAGGAGTCGGATACAGTGATCCCTAAGTCCCTTCCCTCCAAGCCATCTCTTGCACCTTCTCGGTCCTCTGCATTCCTCTCCCAGTCAGCCTCCTGGTCTCAGCTGTCAGACAGAGCTCACCCACTCCTCCCCACAGGAATTCCATGATGCTGTCCAGGGCCTCAGGTGCAATGGCTCCCAGGGCCTCTGTCTCCAAAGAAAGACTATACCCAAAGGACGGCGCTTTAGCATTGGTGCCTTTGCTAGCTAGTCAAGAGGTTCTGGAAGCAGAGCCTGCCCGGAGACCTGTGGGGCCTGCTACACCTCGCTACACAGAAAGTCTTCTGAGCACTGGGTTCGCTGACCCCAGCCCTCCCAGGATACTCACATATTTGAAGGACAGCACGATGGCAGTGACAATCCCAGTCACCATGAGCACAATCCCCAGGACACAGAAGAGGCCTGTGCACGAAGTGAAGTCCACCTGCCGGGAAGGGAGGAGGAGGCGCCTGTCAGACAAGCGCCACGACTAACAGCCCAGCCAGACGGGCCCTGCCTCCCCCCGCCAGAGGGTCCCAGTGCTGCCTCCTGGGGGGCAGGCGAGTGACCGTGACATTCCAAGCACAGACACAGGAAGCAGTTTGTAGGTGTAGATACGAAGGGAAGGCGATTAGGGTCTCTCAGGGAAGTCACCCAGGTAGGGGTCTGGGCCCTCCCAGGCCTGCTCAAGGGCCAGGTCTGTACAAGAAGGGGGTGGCGCCAGGAAGGCCCTCCGTGCCCTCACCTTGGTCTGAAAGCAGAAGATGGTGACTGAAATGGACACCACGGCAGTGATGATCATGGCGATGATGACAGCTTTGGTTTCATACACACTGCAGGGAAGGAGTTAGGAGAGGCCAGATGCATAAGCCACTCATGACTGACTTCAAAACCCCGCTTCCAGAAGGACCCTGCCCAGAATCCACCCCTGCAGATGACTCCCGCCCAGGGATGCCCCACACCCCATAACACACACTTCCCAAGAGCACGCTGGTTGTCCCTGAATGTACCTGGAGATGGTGCCTGTCATGAAGCCCAAGGCCAAAGTCTGAGGGAAGGACAGAGACAAGAGGGAGACACTTAAGCAGAAGGCGGGGCTGGGCAGGCATGGTCACAGTGGCTCGCCAGAGCTGGGGGAAATGTGACAGTGGGCAAGAGGCAGCCACCCAGGAGACCAAGGGTAGGGATCAGATCAGGTGGGAGAAAGCCAGGGCCGTCTTCCACAGTGGGGTCCCCATCCGTCCCTGGGACCAGCCCTCCCTCACACCATCTCCACTCCCTCCCTCGACCCTTCTGGACTTACAAAGATAGTCAACAGGATAAGGTTCCATGGGAAACGGCGTCTGAAGGGAAAGAAACCATGATTAAGTGACTTGGGGCCAGCCAGGCATCCGAGGCTCCTTTAGAAGGAGGTTCTTGGGGCCCGCCCCGTGGCTTAGCGGTTAAGTGTGCGCGCTCTGCTACTGGCGGCCCAGGTTCGGATCCCGGGCTCGCACCGACACACCGCTTGTCAGGCCATGCTGAGGCCACGTCCCACATACAGCAACTAGAAGGATGTGCAGCTATGACATACAACTGTCTACTGGGGCTTTGGGGGAAACAAAAAGGAGGAGGATTGGCAATGGATGTGAGCTCAGAGCTGGTCTTCCTCAGCAAAATGAGGAGGGTTAGCATGGATGTTAGCTCAGGACTGACCTTCCTCACAAAAAAAAAAAGGAGGTTCTTGATTCATGTGCCTAGAGAATTAGGCCTTGACTTGGAGGGAGGCTGGCACGGCCTTTGATACCTGCTCAGGTGTTCTACGCAGGGACAGCAGGGGGCAATGGGACAGACCTGGGCTGTGGAGCCACAAAGACCTGGATTCGTTTGCAGCTCTTACACTGAATACCTGTGTGACTGTGAGAAAGCTACTCAGCCTCTCTGAGCCTTGGGTTCTTCCTACTGGCTAATGGTTAAAATGCTACATATCTTGCAGGGCCACTGTAATAATGCTACACAGGTAATAGATCTCACACACGCATGCTACATTATACACACCTGAAGTAGCTGCCTGCCACCCCTTCTCATTGTCTACATCCCTGGGACTCACCTGGGTCCCTGGCAGCAGGCAAGGGTCAGGTAGGTGACCAAAAAGACAGCACTGGGGAAAAAGAGATGGGGAAGTCATCTCCAGGCCCAGCCTGGCAGCACCCACGGGCTGGCAGGTTGGAGTCCCAGAGCTATGTGGAAGTCTGAGGGGAAGCGACCCAGTAGGACAGGACTCCCCCAGCCTGGGGCGTGACGACCTCTGTAACAGGGGGTTGGCCAGAACAGACAGGCTCCCGGAACACAGGGGCCAATCTGCGTAGGCATGTTGCCACCAGCTCCGCACCGCCTGCTCCCAGGGGCTCTGTGATGGGGCACTCCTCACTCAGTCACACACACCCACAGGTCCCTGCACAGCTGGCAACGTGGAAGGCCCGTCACAAATAGTATTTTGACCCCTGCCCTGAGCAAAGATGGTCAGTTGTCGCCCCTCCTCTCCATGTCCCCGAGCAGAGAGGAGCCCAGACTCACTAGGATATGTAGTAGACAAACAGGTTTCTCTTCACGAACTCGCTGACCGGACTCCTGTGGAGCAGGGGAAGACAAGAGAGGTGTCACACCATGGCTGGTCTGCCTCCCTGCCAGGTCCCGCTGGGCAGCCTGCTGCTCCATCGTCTCTAATCGCCCCGCATCCAGACACCTCTTCCAGTCCCCAACCCACACTCCCAGTCCCTAACCCAGAGCCCTGGGCCAGGACCCCAGCGCTGGCAGCAGTGGGGCGGAGAGGCCTAGGGACTCACACAAAGGTGAAGACAGCAATGATGGCCACCGTGATGAGCAGCTGGATGGAGATGATGGTGTAAACCTAGAACACAGACGGCCGGGGCAGCACGGGTCACATCCCACACCCCTGCCTCTCCCCAGACCAAGGAGCCCAAAAGACCCTACCACCAACCCTTCCCCATCCCCGTCTTTCAGAGGTGGGGAGGGGGCTCCTTCTTAATGTTGAAGGACCTACTCTTTGTTCCCACTCGAGAGCCCCCCTAGCTGCAGCCAGGCCGAGAGGGCTCCCCCCCAGTGAGGAGTCTGGCTCAGACACTACACACCCTCAGAGCCGCCCCCACCTCCAGCTGCTCCTTGCCCTCCTCCCTCCCTGCACTGCAGGTGTGGCCCCGCCTCTACAGCACTTCATTCTGACAGCTGCCGGGGATCTGTCTGCTCTGAGCAGGGCCTGTGCAGACCCGAGACGGGGAGGGGTGGGCTACGAACAAGTGTGGTCATTCCTGGCTGCAAGTTGCTTACAGTCTAACAGGAGAAAGAAGTCTGCAGAGGGCAGAACCCTGGCAGAGCCCGCCCAGATCTTCCCAGATTGCATCTGTCCCCCCAGAAGGAGGTCAAGGAAGAGGACCAGAAGGCGGGCAAGCACGGGTTAGAGGAGCTGGGGCCCCGTGAGGGAAGGGCGGAGCTGGGGGGGCCTGGGAGGCGGCAGCGCGTCTGCATGGGAATGAGTGCCCCCCTTCGCACAGCCCAAGGGGCCCAGGTACCCGCCTCCCGGCCCACGTCTCACCTTTCGGATGAAGGTGTGTCGGACTTTCCTGTCATCCCACTCTCCGGCCCCAAAGCTGTCACTCACTGCTCTCTCCTCCCTGTCGTAGCCCCCACCTGGGGACAGATCACATATGACCAACTGAGGACCTGGGGCATGTGGCCTCAACCCTAAAGCCCCTGTGACATTGTCTCAAACAAAGTCTCAGGTCTTTCCAGCCAAAAGACAAGTGATACAGCTCAGGAACTCCTTGCCCAAGCCGGGTCCCCTAGAATGTCCTCAGAGTGACCCAGAGCTGGCCTGGGCACCACCTGGAGCATAGGCCTGTCACAAGGGGGCTTAGGCATGAGCCGTTCCATCAGCATGCATTTATCAAGGGCTCCTGGGTGCTCGGGTATGAACACACATGGTCGTGCCCTCAGGGGGCTGCAATCTGGTGAGGAAGCCAGGCAGGCACAGGGCTTGGAGCATCGGCCAGAGGAGCTGGCGGGGTCAGAGGAGGGGCTCAGGGATGGAAGGCCGGGAAAAGGAGGGTGGAAACACAGCACATGCGTGTGGAGGGTGAGAACAGAGTGTGAAGACTGATCTATATCAGGCCTCGCAGGGCCGGGCTCAGGGCGGACAGCTGTGTCAGGGGTACACATGCTCAGGAAGGGGCCTGGCTGTACACGTGACTCATTCACTGGTCTTCACACCAGAATGTGTACTGCCAGATGAGAGCTGGCCAAGGTCCAGGATTCCAGAGAGGCTGCAGGGGCTCAGAACATTCCTTGAATGCCTCCTTGGGAACTGCTTTCAAAATCCACATGTGAGCCACTCAGGAAAAATCTCACTGCGTTCTAATCTCATCTCATCTCTGACCAAACAGACCGTTAACCTGCCACGATGTTTATCAAACATCCAGATGACTGCTGGATGGTTACAAAAATCAGATATTACCGTAAAGGATGAGGATCTGTCAGCACTGAGAATATTTAAGACAAAAAAAATGTGCTTCAGGATCCAAAGGCAGTTCCTAAGGAAGAAATGAGTCTGGATGAGGTGGCAACTGCCAAGTTCAGAAATGGAAATGGCCTCCTAAGGTCACCGCTCTGACGTAATTAATTACTTTACCCAGCCACTTTCTCAGTGGATGGGGAAGTTCCGGTGTGTGGCTTATGGACTCGATCTTCTTGGTGAATAAAGGGGCTAGCAGGTGGTTCGGTGCTCAGGGAGAGAGTAGGGAAGTAACAAAGGTGGGCAAATGGAAGGAGAAATCTAAAGAGAAGATGAAGAAAGGGATTAACGGTAAGTCAGAAAGGAAGGAAAGGATGTGGCCTCGTGCTTGCTCCACATGCTGCCCCGCCCCCGCCCCCAGCTACCCTTCAGGGACTCACCGTAGTTCATGGCCGTCGGGTGGACAGGGGGCACGGGCTGTGGGTAGCCAGCAGGGTGACCGTAGCCAGGCTGAGGGTAGGGAGGGTAGCCAGGCTGAGGGTAGGGAGGGTACCCGCCGGGCTGCCCGTAGCCCCCCGGGGGAGGGGGGCCAGGGTACAGGGGGTTGCGATCCTCATACGGAGGTGGGGCACTAGGGGTGGACATGGCCGCTCACGGGCTGAGGGGGACCCCCGCTGCTGGGACCTGAAATGAGACACAAGAAAAGCAGTTGTAAGTGCCCAGGCCCAGCTCACTCAGCCCAGTGCAGGCTGCCTCCGTGGAGAGGAGATCCTCGTATTTTCTCTCTCCATCACGGCGTGTCATTCTCGGCCCGCAGGCCATCCTCCCACCCCCATGGCCCCCAGCTCAGCCCCTGCCCCTGCCTTCACGCCACCCTCCTGTGCACGGCTCTCCGCACTTTGGAGAGCAGGAGCCCAGAGCAGTCACTGGGCAGCAGTGGGGTGACAGAGAGGAGTGGAAGCCTTGGGGACGCCCCTGTGCTCATTTAAGAAGGCCTTCCAGTGACCAGGGAGAAGCTTGAAGGCCCCAGCAAAGCCTCCCAGTGAGTCACAGGGCCAGCTGAGACCCATGGAAGGGGTCTGCCCAGCCCCCAGGGCAGCTGGCAGGAGCACCAGGCCTGGAAGGCAGAGCTGGGGAGGAGCCCAGGCCCAAAGTGGAGGGAGGAGGAGGCGGAGGGCAAGGAGCCGGCCCCAGGGCTGGAGCTGCCAGGCAGGGAGAGGCGGGCCCGAGGACAGTGGCAGGCTGAGTCAGGGGACGCCAAGAGGCCTGGGCAAGTGGTTGCATGGGGCTGGCTGCTGGGGGCTGGGAAGCTGCACAAAAGGGCAGGCCTGAGACAGGACTTTCTGGTTCCTTCCAATAACAGCTGAGGTGTGGCCGATAGGCATGTGGCAGCCTGTGGCTGCCACCACTCTCCTCATGGCCTTGCCAGGGAGCAGACAGTGCGAGCAGGACCCCGAAGCCCCGGGAGGGGGAGACACGCGGTGTGAACCCCAGGGTCCCTGTGATTCCTGCCTGTGCCCCCAGGGCCGTGGCTAGTGGGGAGCAGGAGCCCTGAGGAATCGTGCCCCCAGATTCAGTCAGTACCTTCTCTGCGGCAGGAGCCCACAGCGGGGGGGAGGGGACCCCAGAAACAGAGCTCAAAGGGAGCCCCACGGGTACAGCCCACATGCTCAGTTCAGATGAGGAACCAAGGCCCAGAACCGTGAAGGGACTCCCCAGGACCCCAGAACTAGCAGGTTAATGGCACAACCAGAATCGAGGCCTCCAGGTCCTGGGTATGTGCCCTCTATATTATGCTGTGTTCTTTATGCCTCTTCTGCCAAATAAATTTCTTCCAGGCCTGCTGTTCCCCTCTGAGGTGGCAGGGATGGGGCTTAGGAAGGGCTAAGGAGGCGGTCCCTGGAAGGCCCCTATGTCCCTGGTAGGTACAAGCCTTGACAGAGTCTGGGCCCCCCGCGAGCACCTCCCAAGGGCCAGACCTTTAGGACCCCACAGGGAGGAAACACCCCCAGACCCAGGTCAGCGGACAGCCTCAGAGCCTCTGCTGGAAGGAAGAGAGAACCGGCTTCTCTTTTTAGGGCCACCCTGCACACTTCAGAGATCAGATAAAGGACCGTCCCGGCTCTTTTGCGACAACTGGGATGATTCAGAGGGGAAGGTGGCAGCGAGGGGCCAGGAGGAAGGATCAAATACCAGGCCAGGTCTCTAAATGGGTTATTTTGAGGTAAGTTTTCTCCATCTTCCCAGAGTAAATGGACCAGACAGCAAGAAGGTGTCAGGTCAAAAATGAGACACCTTCCTGACCGTGAGGGTGTAACACAGCCAACCAGGGCGACACGAGCGGGTCGTGGGGAAGGTCCAGCACAGCAGGACAGAGCACCCTGAGGAATTAGGAAGTGAAACCAAAAACGGCGTTGTGAGTTTAAAAACAGAGATGTTAACTGTTTTTGAAAATGTTTTGGGCTTATGTAAGGGTAAATAAGTAGTTATAATACGCGAATCTCCTTGGTAGGCTTTTAAAACAGGAAGGAAGAGAAACTGGGCTCTCCTCCCTTGAGGCCAGAGGCCCCTTCTCCCTACAGGCTCTACCAGCCCCTCCAGAAACCCCCTGTCAACTCCACCAACAGAATGGAGTCCTGTTTGCAGGAGGAGGCAGAGGCAGGTCACGTTTGGAGGAGAGTTATCTGTCATTGTTCCCGTCACCTCAGCACCCCAGGCAGGTCTGACATCCACCATCCGGTGGCATACAGAGGTGAACAGGCTGAACACCGCCCCAGGGACACTGGCGGGAAAAGCCCCTGTGGTCAGAAGCCCCAGCTGGGCCAGCAAACAATGATGTCGCCATGGCCTGGTCCTGTGGCCTCCTCAGGTGCCCCTCTGTGAAATGAGTGGGCCAGGTGAGCTCTGAGCTCATTTCCAGCTCTAACAGACTGCGATCCTGGGACTTATCTGAGGAAGCCGGCTACTCAAGGCCTGCCCTTTGCCCGGACAGCCGGCTGCCCCTCCCTCCTTCCTCTAAGCTGAGCCGGACAAACGGGTCCCTCCCCAGACCCGAGGGGCCGTGGCCACAGGGTCCAGGGTGAATCAGGGAGAGGAGGTCAGCCTTGGATGGGCCACCAGGACTCCAGGCTTCCACTCCAGCTCAGCGGGCTGCTGATTCACAGACTCCTTCTGCACTCCCTGGCCCCTCCCTCTGACTCTCTGGCCTCAGAGGAATTCTCCAGTCGACCTGCCTGCTGGGAACACAGCAGGTCACAGTCCAGTTCTCTGGGGGCTCAGCCACCAACCCGTGCTCACCAGACACCAGCACTGACCACTTCACCTCACTAGGCCTCAGCTTCTCCACCTGGAGAATGGGTTTAACACTGTAATAGTACCCTCCACAGAGTGGCTGTAAAAATTAAATGAGAAAATACACAGAGAGCCTAGAACAGTGCCTGACCCCTGATAGATAGTGAATGTTGCCTATTTTTAGTTATTATTTCATTAAACCCTTACAGTAGCCCAACAGTGTGGAGAATGTCATTATCCCCATTTACAGATGAAGAAATAGACGCTTAGAAGAATTCAGTCACTTGCCGAAGGTTGCTTGGCTGGGGTGTAATGAAGACTTGAGCTGGCCCCACTCCAGAGCCCATGCTCTTAAATGCCCTACTCTGCTCCCTCATGGACACCCCGTCTGTCCAGACTGCTCATCACTTCTCATGGCTTCCAGTCCAAGACCCCCTAATGACAACAGACGGCTTACACAGCAAGCGCACACCGAACCATTCACCCCTCCATAATGCCCCTGCTTCCCAAACCCCGGGCAACAGCCAGGAGGGGAAGAGAGTGGTCAGAGCTAGAGGTTCTCAACTGTCAGAGCTGAAAGGAGACTCGCTCATCCGAGGCAAGCCAGCCCCCTTGCTCTACCAGCCAGACAGCCACGTGCAGGGAGGCAGACTGACCCATCCTTGGTCACAAAGCTGGGCCTGGGCCAGGACTACATCCCAGGTCTCTGGTACAGAGACCTGGGCGCAGGAGAGGGAGAGAGCGTCCAGGCCAGTCAGCCACACTCACCTCTGAGCAATGCCAGCCAGCCAGGAGCCTCAGGCCCAGGGCTGCCAGCGCTGGCAGCTTCTGAGCCTGTTCCCTGGCTACTGCCCGACCTACATGAGGTCCCTGGCCACTCTCATGTCATCAAGGATGACTTTTAGGGCTGGCATGTGCCTAGGGAGTGGGGAAAGGAGGAAGTGGGCAGTGTTGACTTTCCTAGCTATGACTAAAGGTGGGAGCTGGAGAATGTAGAGTCAAAAGGGGAGGAGGAGAGAGAAGAGGAGGCGATCCAGAGACTGAGGATGATTGATGCCCAAAGACTAGAAACCAGGAATCAGGCTGTCTGGGCTCCGCTGGTAGCTGGTGGAGGGGCTTGCAGTCTCCAGGGGCTAAAAGGACCTTTAAGGTTCCCCACTGGAAGCCTGAATTGTCCTAAAACACAGTAGGCATTCAGCTTCTACTGAACACAACACAGCAGGGAGCAGCCTGAATCATTAGAACATTCTTCCTCACAATGCCTGTTACCAAGACATTCAGACTCTGCCCCCTCCTTGCCACATTACAGATCTAAGCTTGCTCCCCATTCGCACGGCCCCCCCCCCCCATCAGGAAGGAGCCAGAACCTCTCCTTTCTCCTGCAGGATGCCCAGACCCAGCCATCACAGCAGCCCAGCGAGTGGGCTCAAACGCAGGACTTGTTGGCTGTCGAGGTTTCCTGATGCAGCCGTGGGGAAACATCTCAGTGTGGCCACCATGCTCGCAGCCAGCTGAGGCCCAGGCTCAGGCTCCCCTGGGGGCATGTGATGGGTTAAGGCTCTGAGCTACTGGGGTTACAGCAAGAGGGTGTGTGTGTTGGAGGGAGGGGCGGAATGGAGCAGCTGACTGGGCCAGGCAGCCTGCCCGCCTCCCTGCCAGGAACGGATGCCCGGATGCCAGAATGGAAAGAATAGCTCAGAGTGCGCATCTCAGGCAACCCCACCCAGCAGGCGCAGGAGCACAGCCCTGGCCACGGGGACCAGGTCCCTCCGACAGTCTCCTTACCACCCTTTTCCTTCACCTCCCCAACTCCCCCAGCACTCTCCCCCACACCCCAAGAAAACACTTCACCTCCTTCCCCAGCACACAGCCACCAGGGCAGAGGAGTAAAAAGACACACCCAGGAGTGTCCGAGCAAGTCACCAGACCTGACACACACCCACCAAGGGGCCCAGAATCAACTTATCTTTCTGTCTGCCTGGCCTCTGGGATTAACAGGATGATGACGCTGAGGATCTAGAAACTGAAACGTCAGAGCTGGAATGGACTTTAGAAATCATCTGGTCACCTGACCGACAAGGAAACTCCTGAGCCAAGAAAGTTCCTGCCCCAGCCCACGACAGGCCCTCCTGGTCATGGGTTTGGCACTTCCATTCCCAGCCCTGCCCACTGTCTGAGAGCTCAGAGTAACAGACGCAACACACTGAGGCAGAGCCAGGGCAGGCCGCCCGTTCCCCCAGTTCCCTGGGCCTCCTGCTCAGAAACAGATAAGGCTGCCAACCCGTGACTCCCTTCCAGCTTCCCAGTCCCCAGCCAGGGCTGCCTCTCTCCAATCAGAGACTGAGAGGGGCGACTCCAGTCTCTGAGGAAGGGAAGCCCCCCTGGAGAGCCTGGGAGGACCCAGGCCCCCCAACT